ACTCATTAAACAGACAATCCCACTATGAGTGATTCTCCTCAGTTAGTCATCTTGCTGGAGAAATTAATGTGAGAACAGTGTATACATCTGCCTACATTCAGGAATTAAGTGCATACAGTAGTCAACCCTCAATCAGTCTGACCAGGGAAAGATAATCAGGTTGTACTGGGGAAGTGTGTGTGTATATATGTAGTTGAGGAGCATTAAAACTAGGGTCTGATGGTCCTAAGAATGATAGTCATTCTTAAGAAATTGAGGGATGTTACTCATAAACCCCCAAGTTAAGATTACAGCACTCCCTTAGGATTGTAGTAGTTCCCACAGACCAGAGAATTGCAAATGTTATATCAGTTTATATTAAAGAGAACAAAAAATGAAAAGGGAAATTCCAGACTAATCATATCATTCTCATCGTCACACAGGACTGGTGGGGTGAGCTAGTATCTACAAGGTAGTTGGCCACACCTCCATTGCCTATCATTCAAGAGCATGGTAATTAATTCAACAGGAGTCTTGTACCACCTGGGGAAAATTATTCACCACACCTGCATCAGGTGGTTCAAGACTACATAAGCCATGATCTGAGAGTACTCTGGAACACTGTCATAGAGTTCTCTACATCTCTAGCTTCTTTTGAGTTCCTGAGTTGTTGCTGTGTTTCTTCCTACATTCACCCTGACTTTGTTCTCTGGATTCTCCTCTGGTTCTTTGTACGGTGTCTCTTGGTTTTGAACTTTGCTTGTCCCTGTTTAATTACCATTCAAGAGCATGGTAATTAATTCAACAGGAGTCTTGTACCACCTGGGGAAAATTATTCACCACACCTGCCTCAGGTGGTTCAAGACTACATAAGCCATGATCTGAGAGTAGTCTGGAACTCTTTCATAGAGTTCGCTACATCTCTAGCTTCTTTTGAGTTCCTCAGTTGTTGCTGTGTATCTTCCGTATTCACCCTGACTTTCTCTGAATTCTCCTCTGGTTCTTTGTACGGTGTCTCTTGGTTTTGAACTTTGCTTGTCCCTGTTTATGATTTATGTACTATGTTTGCCTAGACCTGTGCTCACCTTCATTGCACCTGTTTGTCTACACTGCCAGTTGCAAACAAGGTGCTGCCTGCTCACACCGCTGATGCCGGGGTTTCTCTGCTTGCTCTTGGGTATATTATACAAAAATGTGTTGCTGCTTCACTATCTCCAGAAGCGACATATTGCAAATCAGTCTTATGTCTGTTACTGGCAAAGTTATGGAAACAAAAGTTCCAGCTACAGTATATGGGAAGAATATTTACCAAACAGCGCCATTTTAAGAAACATCCAAAATTAATCTGGAAAGGTTATATCTGGTTAACTAACTGACTCGAATTCTTCAAACAAGCAACAAGGACAGTTGATAACATTAAAGTGTACAGCCTTTTATATTTAGAATTTAGCTTATATGTACTTCAGCTTCTGATAAGGTTTCTTATAGAAGATTAATTATCTAATTAAAAGCCATAGGAGTCAAAGATGATTTGTGCACATGGTTTGAGAACTGATTAACGAACAGGAAACAACACATAATCTTAAGGGATCAGCATCTAAGTGGGTAGATATAAGCATTGGTGCACTGCAGGTATCCATTTTAGATCTATTGCTCTTCCTGATCTATATAAATAGGTCTATATCTGATATAGGTAGAAAAATAGTTACATTTGCAGATAGCAGATATGAAAAAAATAGAGGCAGTGGCAAACAGAAACAGTAGTAAGGGAATAAAAAAACTTGGGTAGATACTTGGCATATTAGATTTAGCAATGATAAAGTCAAAGCTGTTTTCTCAGAAAGTAGAAACATACATGATATATTTTGCATAGGTCATTCTGAACTACAGGAAGCTATGCATGGAAGGGAAGTGAGTATTTATGTACATTCTTCTGTGTCCTTATCGAGACAATGTAGGGAAGCCATAAAAACATAAACAGAATGCTTGGGTACATAACAAAAAGTGTGGAATTCAAATCAATGAAAGTTATGCTAATGCTTTACAATGTATTAGTACGACCTAATTTAGAATATTGTATTCCATTCTGGTCACTATAACATGAAAATGGCATTGTAGCCTTAGAAAGAGTTTGAAGAAGAACAACGAGAATGATTCATGATCTAATGATGTTTTTGTGTATTGTACAGTATATTGACAGGTTAAAAAATCTTAATCTCTTTAGTATAGAGTAAAGGAGGTTGTAAAGAAATGTGATCAAAGTATGGTATATAAAAATCTTAAGGGTTTTATACAATGTTATCACAGGGAACTATTTCAAACCCAGTAGCAAATCATGTTGTATAGGTGAAAGTTGGAAACTATAAGTAATTCAGTTTAGGATGGATAGTAGGAAAATCTTCATTTGATACATCCAGAGAGCATTACTTTGGATACATTAACACTGACCAGAGAAAACACACTGCACTCTAGCTTATTTCTCTGCTGATCTTGTTTGTGTTCCAGGTTGCAAGTTTTAGTGTTTTATTCTTGAAATTAAAGGGCTGGACATTATAGTTTAGGATGAGTTATAAGGTCTGTATCAGTCTGAAGGTGGTAGATCATGCCTTTCCTCTTATACAATCAGATTGCTGAAAAGTGGAATGGGCTAAACAGTTTACTAAATAAGTCTCTGAAGAAAACAACCAGGATTTTAAAAAGACCACTACCCTTCTATGAGTGTTGGGTAACTGAAAAAAAATGACAATTGCATTTTATACACATAATATGTGGTACTCCCACTACAGATGTGACACTACATCTGACAACCACTGGAATAATAAGCAGAACCGAATTGTCATTATATCACCACTTCATCAGTATAATAACTACAGAAACGGAACACTCTTAGCAAAACCCTGGGAAGGGTGAATGAATAATAAACTGACCATGACACGACGCTGACCGTTAATACAAAGCTCATCACATTCCAGTGGAAGGAGATGACAGACACATGTAAACATGAACAGAGCTGTTCTCTGTCCTGTGCTTGTTTTTCCCTCTTTTTTAAAGTGCCTCTTTCGTTTAAAATGCTGGAAACTCATATTTGCTTTGTTTCTCATTTTGAAAATCTTTAGTCTTGGAGTTGTTTTGTTTTCCTTCTTAAGTTATGCTACAGGGATTCCTTGACCCTTATGGGGAAAACAAAATCTGTACATTTTTGCACAATTTCTTGTTGGAGTTCATCCAGACTTGGGACTAGTTTTCTGGGCCACAATCCTAATGTAATGTTAATTAAGAATTATGTTTTTCTATAGGGGTTTACCTGAAGGCATGCAAAGGCAAGCTGATGATCTTAACTAATGCAGGCAGTTTAAGCTTTACATTATTAGCTCTGTGACTCTCTTGTGTTTTTTTCTTTTTGAGCTGGAAATATTGATGTATTTGTTAGCAAACGTGCACAAGATAGCTTAAAATTTGTAATTTTAAGGTTATATAGCAGTACTCTTCAAAATGAGTTACCAATAATATTATATAATTTGTAAGAACAAACATTTGCAAGTTCAACTTGGGCATATGTTAAGATGTTTTTTAAATCTCTTTGCAGGACAGAATAAAAATATTACTTCAAGCCCTTCAGGTCCATAGAGACTGGTGAGAGAGGCTTGATGATTTCCACTGATAGTGTGCTTCCTAAGACAGTCATCAGTAATGACCAAAATCAGCGAATTATAGCGTAGCATTTTATCGAAAATTAGAATGATTGTTTCAAAGATTTTAAAATTGAATGAGGCTTGTGCATCTCTTGATGTACTAACAGTATTGTTCCATTTTCTGTTTAACAGTTTTAACGAGTCAGTATTTTATGGTTCCATTTATCCTATTTGAGATGTAATAATTTGATCGCTGTTAAATGGCAGTGATAACTGTCAGAGGTTATCCAAATTATGCTGTGATACATAAAGCACATGAGCTTTGTTTTATTGTTTATGGCGTGAACTGAGTTGGAAGTGTGTTGCTCCTGAACTCATAGTTAACAGGTCTTCAGTTAACTGAGCGCAGACACAATGTGACAAACCACAGCTCTTCAGCTTTCTACAGCACAGCTCAGTCACCATTATGCCCCAGAATCCGCTCCTTGTCCAGCTCCAAAACAGCTGTGTCCAGCCAACAAGAGTCCTTTTTCTCAGACCCACGGTACTATTGCACCACCCCAAACCGACCCACTCTCTATTCGGAGCAACATAGAAGGTTGTTGATTATAATCCAGAAGGTCTGGCATTCTTCTCCTGGATTAACCAGCTGCTCTCTCCCCTTGAAGTTTGTTGGCTTCTTCTTGTTTTCTTGTATGCAAGTGAACTAAGTGTTCTGTCTCTGTTGGTTACTTGGCTGCGAAACTGACAGACATGGCTGAATGCTCCCTGCTGCCGTGACGCATGGTTAGCTGTTGTTCTCTCGCCCCAATGCGATATGGCTTCTCGTTTCTATTTCCTTTGGGAACAGCTGTCATGTAAACAAATGATGAAATCACATTAATACACCATCCCAAAAATAAATGAACAGATCTTGGAACAGACCCACAAGTGCCTGAGACGCGCAAGATATCTTTCGATTGCCCTAGAACATGTAAATTCTAAAACTATAAGCACAATTGGCACCAAGCACATTGCTTTTGGGTATTAAATTAGAATGAAGAATGAGCTAAAAACCGGGTACACTAGAGAAATTCAATGGCTTTGTTAGCACAGATGCACTCTAAACACCAGAGCTAAAATGTAAACATGCTGAAGAAGACCTGGAAAAAAATAAAGCATTAGTATTTTGATGCAAAATAATATTTCAATCATTGCTTTCATGCAAAACCTAAATATCCCCAACTTCTCTCTTAACTCTCTCCCCATGCCAGAAGAGCATGGTTTTGTGAGAATTGGCTTTGTCTGATGCTGTTGCCTCTTTCCCTTGACCGCTGTAGGTACTGTGCACATTTCCGAACCTGCTGTCTGTGATGACCTCAGTTCTCCCCTTCCTGTTTCTCTCAACAGGCCCAGTGACGAGCAGCACCCCACAGTGAGGGCAGACGGATATGTTGACAGCCTGGCAGAGGCAGTAGACATCATTCTCAAACACAGGGCTCAGTAGGACCCCACGCACCCCAAGGGAAGGGGCTTCCGCTTGGAGTTGTACAGTGCAGATTGATGTTACATATTCCCCACTCACAACACTGTTAACCCTAGATAAAAGTATATGCAAAGATATAATGTTATTGCTTACCCAAAATTAAATAAATATACTGTAAGGTGGGTAGATGAGTAGATTGACCTAAGCAAATTAAAAAAAAATGTAGGGAAAGCCACATACTGTAGTTTCATGTTCCACGCTGTTTAACTGGAAATGTTAATGCTTTTTGTTTTGAGTGCTGAAATGATTTTTGGAGTTTGATGTGGGTTGGTGACACTAAAAAAGACAGAAGTGGACACATAGATTTGACTTGCACTAATGTAAACTTTGAGTAGTTGAAAATGCCAATGTAGTGTACATTTCTTGTTCTAAGTAAATATCACCCCTATACATGTATTCTGAGGCAGCTAACATAATTAAGCATTGTTTGGTCGATACAAGGTGTGATACTATTGCTGTACTTCTTCATTAGTGTATCAGTACTACCATACACTTTACAATGAATGAGGGAATACTCGTGATTTGTATTTCAATAAAAAATAGAAAAAAAAATCTGTGAACTACTTTTTCCATTTAAAGGCATTCCAAACTTAACAAAGAAAAATCAGACATCACATTTGTTCCCAATTACTTTAAAGTTTTCTACTGTAAATGCTTGCTGCGATAGTTAGGTTTGCACTTGAGCATGAGCTCTGACCCTGCAGTGTCTGTTAGCTTCAGTTTCACTCTGGAGTGATACAATTCTAGAAATGAAACCAAGCCTTTTGGCCCACCTTCTTGGGCTGCTTGGCCTAATGTGCTACTGGCCATCTCTGTGGGGAAAGAAATGTGAATTTTGACAAGTTAAGTAAATCTCCAGCTCACCTGGGAAACGGAAAGGTCTAAGTGAAATGAAAACCAGAATGGTCCTGTGGTTTTCAGAGACTAGATCGACGGTGATCAAGCAGATTAGACACAATCCTGAAGGTGAGGCACAACTACTGAGAAAATGCCTTTGTTGTTGCTGTAGGCCATATATATTTTCTACAGATGTTGTGGTTTCTTAATGGGACAGTGAATCAAACTGAAATAGAAACGTGCCCATTTCCTTGCTCTTGCTTATTTCTCAGAAAGCCCCAGCGCACTGAACCACAGGCAGACCGAGCTGCACTGTGTCCTGTGTTTTGCTCTGCACAGGGCAGAATGTCTGCTGTCTCCCCAGACACACCCCAGTGGCTGACTGTGCATCGCCCCAGGATGGCCATGCTTGTGCGAGGAAGGAAATTGGTTAGCTGTCATTGTGGAAACCACGGAAGAGCCGACAGCACATTGTTAAAATGCAGGCAGATCCCCAGAGTTATTTGTGTTTGCCATTCTCTGTTTTATTTTGTTTTGTCCTGCAGATGCACAGATACAGGAGAAACAGCTGTGTAGCACACTTAACCAAACACATAGGCTGTCTTGACCTTTTACTGCTGATCATGCACTGACAATCTCATCAATCAAAACCTTGTAAAGTCCCTATCCCCAGTGATGCTGGTGATATTATAACTATTATACTTATAGCATTTGGTAGGAAATTATGTGTTTTTGTTTATAGATAGATAGGTAGATAGAAAAATAAATGTATTGTATAATCCAGTGCAGCAAATTTGACAAGAACGGTTCAATTTCCTTTTTCATGAGAATGTGCAGAAATGTCCTTTACCGTGTGAATAGATAAATACTTTTGAGTCAGGAGTCTGCTTTTAGGATAGAACATTTAATTGTCAAACACCTAAAGATCCATTATTTCCTGCTTGCTGCTGAGTAGGAGGATTGAGTTTTTTTCTAGTGTTTTGCAAGCCAGATACTACGCTGTACAGCAATGGACTGACTGGGGAAGAACTTTATTGTGTCTTGCAGTGGTGCTGCCAGAGAGTTTATATATGATTGAAAGTTGACATGAGCTCTCCTGGATCCTTATCAAGTATGTCATGAAGTGCTGATTTGATAGCTGAGGCAAAGACAAACACAAGAGGGATTGCATTGAGTAGCCATGGGGTAAATGGCAGACACCCACTGGAACAAAGCAACCCTGTTATGCCTGCATTCTTTTCGTATTTTCAAAGCGCCTTGTTTGCAAATAATTTGCTTCTCCCTGACACTTCTGCCTCTGCTTGTAAACAATCCTTACATCATGCATTCAGGTGCTGGATGGACTCCACCCTACTGACACAGTCTCAGCTGTTTCACCCACACTCCTAGCAATCCTGGACAGTGGAAACCCATGAAATGAGGAAGGGTTAGAGCAAGTGCACTTCCTGTAAATGTTGATCAAAACAGGGCCTGTGTGTGGCCAATCATTGGAAGCAATACATTGGTGACACATGCTTTTGCACCAGGATTCAGATGCTATCTTGGGAGATTCTGTTTCTTTCTCTAGTGGAGCCTGGACATACTTGTGCCTGTTCACTGGTCTCTGAGCCCTAAAAGCCCCATGTCATCCCAGTTCAGTCCACAAATGTTTGATAGTGCTCATCAGGGCATCCCCTACTCTCATCTCGAAAGAAAGCCATTGTTATATAAGCAGCTTAAGGTTGTGAGTGTCATGTAATGTCGTCATGTTGGGATAAGCCTACAAGAAGGACAAAATGTGAGATCCTAGGACTTGATCGCCGTTCAGCTAAGTTGCTATCAATCACTACAAATTGAGTTTTGTTGAATCTAGACCCTTCTACCCTGACTGTTTCACTTGGATGTCTCTATCGACTGGCCTTTTGTATACAAATTAAAATGTGTCAGTCTGCATCTCGGCCACACTCGTTGACATCCATCAGGGTGGTCTACATAAAACCTTGATTCATCGCTGAAGAGGACTTGCTGGTGAGTCCACCTAAGGTGATTTAGAACAACCCCCAATATGCCAAAGGCAAGGTGTTGTTTTCCTGATAGTTGAGACATATAGGTTCTTTTTTACCTTAATTTTAGTTCACAGACTATGACATTCACCAGGTTAAATCACCCCACTACCTGTGTGCAGACATTTCTCTAATTACTGGGGTGATTTAGTGCTTATGCAGCACTCCAAGTTACTCAAGTTTATCTCCATTAGTAATCAATGATCAATTAATAAAAATGACACCAGAAACTTTTAACCAATATCTAGAGCCTGTACACAGTCGTAGTTTTCTAGAAATGCTCAAATTGATTTTTAGGGTTGCTTCCAAGTAATATTTTCTATTTGATCCCAAGAAAAGCCGAATACACTGAATTTCAATACACATGCGTGATTAAAGGATTAGAATTAAATTAGGGGGAAGTTCATTCTATTATACTCTAGCAGACACTAGTACACACTAAGTGGCAGAGACAACTATAATTATTCCAGTAAATTCTAAAAAGCTGTGATTCTTAGAAGAGAGTGCTGGAATTCTGACTGGTCTGTGGTATTTCTGATCCATTTCAGATCCCTGCTGAGTTTTCCCAGGTGAGCGAAGAAGCAATATGCCTGATTTACATACTGTGCTTGTGAAGGGAAATGGAATAAACACACCACAGAGCGCTGGGAAAGAGACTGGAACAATTTATTTACAAATTAGAAGTAACAAGAAGATTCCTGAGGGACTGAACTGCTGTGAGTGCAAAAGGGTCACCGAGAGACTGGGAAAAAGAACTTTCATTTATAAAAAATCTTCTGTTTAAAAATCTCTAAACCAGAGCATTTTCTTTAAAGGCTTAATACCTTTGTGTATTTTTTCATATGTAACATTTGAAAACTGCATTTCAGGGTTTTGTTGTTTGCTCAACCAAAGTTTTTTTTTTTTTTCTGGAAGATACTGGCCTCAGATTTATTTTTCTTTGTTAAAATACCAGAACCTACTTCACCTTACCTCTCATTGAAAGTCTAATGTCAATGTATACAGTTTCTATACTGTATCTCAGCCACTACCCCCAACACACACATCACGTTGGTAACAAATGTTTGGTGTAATTAGTTTGACCCCGTGTGATGTGAAACATTACTTTCACCATGAAATGATACCATAAATGAGTGAACTCTGCCTTAACTCTCTCCCCTTGTTTGGCTTTTGGAGCTTCAACACTATTAGAAAAAAACAGTTCTAAAGTCTGAGCAGTTACTGTACATTCATCAGAGCTAGCAGCACTAAGTGTGATTTTGTAAGTTTGAGCAGTGGGTGCTAGGACTGTTTAGCATTAATTCACTCTGAACATTTAATGTTCAATCCACAAGCAATTTGTTCATGGTTCTGGAAGCATGGTGATTTTTGATCATGCTAAAAAAGAGATTCATGATACCCTCCACTCATTAAACTCCTGCCCTTCAACCCAGAGTATATTTATACTTTTTTATATATATAAAGGTATTTAGGTCATCAAGAAAAACAGGCACAATACAATAATGGAATAGTTTCCATATACTGTACTACTGTGTGTCCGATTGTCTTCCATGTTCCTACATAAAATTATGTTCAGAAATGCTTGCCAAGCAGTCTTTCTGTCCAACGTTTTCTCCTGTCGCGTATCTCGTGTTCTTTTTCTAATTTAGACTACCACACCTCTGCCATTATCATCAGCACTAGGGCTGCCTAGCAATTCCTATGCAGCTCAGCACTCCCATTTGCCAAGCCTTCCATCAAAACTATACCCCCCTTCCAACTTCTAACCCTTCAAAAGCTTCTTTCACATCCTCCCGTCTTTCATATGATTTTTAGATTTATTGTAACCCATATATCAGGCCTGCAAAGTGAATTGCCCTTGGATTTGCAACGATGCCTGCAGTTTTTGACTGACTGCAAAAGCACAGCTCTCTCAGCTGCAATACTGCAACAGAACCATATTCAGTCAGCTGTTACATTGTATTTACACCTTGCTTTATTGTTAAAAAAGGCAACTTTTCAATGTTGAAATTAGTCATACTTTTTAGAACAGAAACAAGGAGTATTTGGACTTGCAATGTTTATGTCTTGCAAGCGGAGTCTTAGCAATATAATGAGGAGGATTTAATTCAGCAGATGATCAGTGTTTCATTTGTTATTGCACACAGACTTGTAGCTTCTCAGGTGTTAATTCTAGTCTCCACCTAACACCATCTGTCTACCATCACACTCGACAGATCATTTTTTCACAATGCATCAATAGGTGATGCACAGAATGTTTATCTTATGCATTATTTATTTTGGACCAGTGTATCTTAAATAGCACATTAAAATTAATGTTCTGTTTATATAGTTTCTCTAAACAGTTCAGGTCACCTTATTCTTAGGGATGATACTGAGTTTTACTCTCAATTTTGCAATAATAATTGGAGTTGATAACATCATATCAATAGGCCATTAGGTAAAAGAGAGAAATTAGATAAAAGAGACCAAGCAAAGTTAAACTAAAGGTTCTGGTTCCATTTTACTATGGATAAACCAAAAACCTGCGAATGTTTTAATAGTACAGCCAGCTGATTATGTTGTATGCTTTAATCTGCAATTAAATGTATAAAAATGCAAAGGACTGAGTTTCATGTCACTACCTGACTGTGACTGGTGTTCCCCAAGTGGTGGTACAGGGTGGACTAAGTACTGCCAAGGGTGGGGTGCTATTAGTGAGTCCGGGCTCTCTCAGCTCCTAGCAACACCACAACCCCTTCAGCCTCCCATGCCCTTACAAAAAGGCAGTGCAGTCAGAGAGGGACATGCCTGTCCTCTTGTCAGTGCTGAAGAGATAGGCGGCTGTGGTGCCTGCGGCTTGTTAAAAGACAAGGGAGAGGTTTGAAGGTCTGCTGGCAAGCTGGAGAACTCTGCCCATACTTCTTCATTCTCTAATCAAGGCCTAGGTTAAGTTGTAGGCTCACAAAGCATGTGCCTAGCATCACCTGTGCTAAATGTTTCTAATAAAATGTAATCTTTAGATTTAACAGATACATCTAGTCAAACTACATTTGATTTTACAGTGCATTATAATTTACACTGCACACATGAGCAGATGTATGTACTGACATGTATACTGCTGGTGAAACACCTCAAGATGGTTTCACAAGTCCCGGGTTTGTTAGTTGCTACTGCTAGCTACAAAGAACAATGCACAGTGTATTGGCTAAAGTTGCTCATTTAGAACTACCCGTAAACAATATCTGTGTTGGGAGCAACACAGCACAAAAACAGAAAAAACAATAAAGAAGTCTTTGTAACTCACTGAATTAATTGAGAAACATTAATTATCTAAAGGTATCATGCCATCTGCGACCACCTAATGACTGAACTCCAACAAAGTAAAAAAATAGATTCCATTCACAATTTAATTCTTTGTATATTTTCGAGCTTTGTGTAACTACAGATCATTTAATATAGCACTTCAATGTTTCAAAATGCAGAGACCTAAGTAATGTTCAAGCTTGCCATGAAGGATATATCTGGATCTGGACATATATAGCCTTGAATGTACATAAAATCTCAACTGTTTAACTCTTCAGCTGCTCTGGAGAACTGTCATTTTCTTTACTGAAAAGTGTGAATAACTGCTTCCAGTCTGAGTCAAAGGAAGGACATCTAAAAGTGAGGTCATTGTCATAGAAAAAGGCATTAATGTGTTCTTGGTTTTTGATGGAAGTTATTAAGAGTTCACCAGAAGAAAAGAAGAAGAAAGATGCTTTAGAAGTGAGTTAAAATTCTGGATGTTTCTAATGCTGTTGTTTTGTAGTTATTGCATAATTAAATTTCTATGAGATTTATTTCCTCACTGACACTACTTCAAATTAGCTATTTGTTTCGCTAACAGTGCTGTTAGATTACAGGATTGCTTGAGCACTGGTATGTTGTTTTCTTACGCTGGGAGTGTGAAAGGTGTTATAAGACAATTATACTACATAAATATTCCATCAACAGTGTACAATGGCTTGGAAATTTGTACAATTTGAAAATGTGACATAATTAGTTGTAGGGTGGTTTAAAAATATATTCGTATTACACTCCTGCCTGGAATGGGGTTTGTAGATGCCAGTGTGAAAAACACAAAACTGGGCTTTCCAAATTAATAGGATATAACAGAAATAACTAGTGATTCTACATTTATGAAAAAAAAAACAACTTTGTTCCATAAAAGCCTTGTTTTTAATTCCTTTGACTCTGTAAAACCCATATATAATAAACATTTTAATTGAACATCCATTGTTAATTAAAAATGTTATCTGAAGTTTCAAACCTGAATAGCCAAGTTGGTCATTTGATGTGCAAAAGCCTTGACTAATATATTGGAAGAACTACAGTACCTTAAAATAAAACTGTATTTTCATCACACTGTCCTTGGCAGAGAGCAGAATTTACAGGTCTGAAGTTTATCATTCTGCAGCAGTTCAATGTTTTCAATGCATCCAAACCTATGAAACTGGAAACCAATCCAGTGGAAATAACAAAAGTTAGCTTTTTTATGTGAGTACAAGTATCAAATACCTCTAAGTATAAAAACAAAACAGTTGAGCTGAGCAGTGGTATCCATCACTGGAATTCAGAGACCAATTTGTTTTGGTCACAAGTTCAATAAAAAAATATCACAACTTTATATATCACCTATCAGTTGGTTTCTGAGGTATACAGCCATTGTGTGATTCAGGGACGTCTAGTTTAGACACAGGGGATATTGAGTTCCTCCTTAGAGCATGTAGATCTACTCTTACAGAATGTGCTTTTACTATCAGAGGAAAGTTTCTGCCCTCTTGGTAAATGTTTAAACAAAAAGGGTTTATAGAATGCATGAAAGCTTTCTGTGTAGGGTTACATTTTCTTCATAAAATCAGTGATCACATCTGATAAATACAGTACAGACATTACTGAAAATGGTGATGAACTTTCACACAGAAATGTAAAGTCTTGTCACAGAAGACAAACCATGACAGTTATATTTTAGCTTATTAATGACTATGCAGATTAACGAAGGAGGTTAAACCAAAATGCAGTTTGCACCTTTGTCAATAAAAGCAAAGTTAAGCAAGTTAAGCACATAATTTCACAACACTCACTGGACTGCTCTGGAAGCTTGAGGACTTTCCTTCTGCATATATAGATTGCAGTGTTTTGGGTTTAAGGCCGCTGTTTCAATTTGTTTTCAATTTTCTCACTGAATGGAACAAACTGCATTATGGTAAAACAAAGTAAAAACACAAAGTACAATAGCCTCAAGAATTTAATGTTATGCATATGTACAGAATCACAGGTATATTATACACTGGGCATAAGGTGTTAGGTGTGAATTTAATCTTAAATCTTGAACTTTCCCAGTGAGCTCTTTTGAATACATTCATTTTCTGACACTGAGAAAAATGTAGAAAGCTTTGTTTTTAGGAATTTCTCAAAAAGACATTTTTAACAGTCTTTTATAATGGCAGCTTGACTTCAGAAGAAATGGAGTGCTCTTATACAGTATTATAGCTTGCATTTTATACAGCTTGTGATGTGTTTAACTATCCCTTTCACCTTAAACCTATCCCTATAGACTTCTTCCCACTGTTTTCTTCTTGGCAAACATTCAAATGTTGTCTTTGGCCAGGAGTCAGTTAAGGTCACTGATGCAATACCTGCAAAGCTGTTATTTCAAGGATCAATTCAGAGAACTGCCAGTAATTTACTGCACTCTGTGATAATCTCTATCTGCATGTCTTTTAGCCTCACTGTACATAATACCTTGTGATAATGATTGTTCAATTCAGCTACTTTTTTGTTTAAGAATCTGCACTGATGAGAGTTACATTTCAGACATTGTAGTTTTCAGCTTTTTTTGGCCATCATTTTCCAGCTTCACTACACTGGAGTCTTCAAGAGAAACCACTTTACCCAGAGTGCACAGACAAGAGCCACATTAAGACTGTTTCATGGCTGAGATGCATGACTTTCAGAATTTGTTGAAAAAGGAAGATATGAAGTGAAGTTATCTTAAGAGACAAGCTCTTCATAGAGCTCCAATGATCAGTGTTTCTGGTGCAGAACCATTACCGTTCAAAATGTGGCACACTTTTTAAAAGTCTCTTCATCATTGCAGATACTTTCTGACACAAGTGAAGTCTTGTGCAAGAGGGAAAGAGATCGCTCTCACATTCTTGTATTAGCATGTGCTTTAACCATGAGCAAGACAAGGAAATAGTGCTTTAATGAGAAAAGACTCCTGTGATGAAAGGCTAGGGAACACTAACACAACCAGATTGTGGTTCAAGCTTTTTTTAAAAAAATACAGCTGGAACACAGGAACACATTCATTTCTGTTTTGCTGTACTCTGGTAACAAATCAGACAACAGCACTCGATCCTGCCCAGAATCTGGTGTTTCTGGCCCACAGAAGAGTAGATTCCAAGGAGAAAACAGAACATATGTTTCCTTTTTCAGGATGAGTCCTGCCAAAGTTTAACAATCCTGTTTTTCCTTCTATTCAGGGAACACTCTCACACACTCAGAGGCATCTTTTCCATCATATCTCACAGCAGTGGATACCAGACACACTGAAGCATGGCCACAGGCCTTAATGCACTTAGTACTTTTCAGATAAAGGAGGGAATAACTGGAGGGGAACAGATATTTCACAGAGCACTATTAAAATGAACAACGCAATATACTAAATCAATATTTACCTGCTCAGCAGGTTCACTTAAAATGGTATTCAATGTTATTTTATGTATTTTCCCATTGTAACAATGAGAATATTTAGCGATATAGTCAGCACTGGGTCTAAATACTCCATATGCAATCTGCTAAGCCTAGAGCACTATCACTTTAAAAAAAAAGGCCAACCTGAAAAACTAAACAGACAATACTTTATTGGGTTAAATTAAAATTGTCTTCACTTACATTAGCTTTCCCTATTAAACCATTAACTAAGAGTCTTCTAAGAGTTTCTTCAAAGCAAAGCAGCAAATCTTGTTGACCAGTACTTGCTCTATAAGTGCAATAAGCACATCACCCCTGTGGTGCATAGCTCAGATGAGGTAGTAGTGTTGGTATTATGCTACATTACTCTTTTTGGGGTATTACCTTAGAATTGTGATGGGTAGATAACAGCTGATATTGCATCTTAACTCTGCTTGCTTCCATTTTAAGCACAGTGCTGATACTGTTAAAGACTGGATTGCAAGTGAAGGTACAAGTGAAGCTACAAACAGAAATTCAGTAACTGTGACACCGATGGATTAAATATCTAAGAGCACTAAATCTAATGTCAACATAATTTCCACACAGAGTTAAACAAATCTCATAGGAATGCCACCGTTATACCCTCCACCGAGCTCTGCTTTACTTAAAAGACAAGGATCTTACATGTATCTGCCTAAATAATGTTTTGCAGAGTGTACACCTCACGCATCTATGCTACTATTACTCTCCCACAAAATGTTAGCAATGCAGAGAAGCTTTATTTTTCCATCTCTTTTATGCAGGTGATCCTTTTATGGAAAAAGTGGGATGTTTTGATTGTTTCTTTATGTAAAGTAGATATTTAGTAAGGAGGGTGTGTTAGCAAATACACTTAAGAAATGGAATAAGCCTGTTCTGCTTTGAGGAAAGTTCTGCACAGCTCACTGCCAATTTATCCTGGGAGGGAAATACATTGGCCGTTAAAAGCAATCAAATGTTTCTGAGGGCAACAGAAGGGGTCCTACCCTCCACACCTCACCAGCCGACACAGCAATGGCTGTCCTGAAGATTAGACACACAAAAATAACAGAAATTATTGTTTTCCTAAATAGTTAGCATTATTCTTATCAGTATAGTTTGAACAGCAAACACATTCTAAACTCATTGATGTTGCACTACACCTGGAGTTATAATCTAAGTGGCTGCAGGGGACAAACAGGCAGGTCAGAATGTGATTGTTACATTTTAAATAAGGCAAATGGTTACAGTGCAAGAACCCAGAGTCTTAAGCTTCTATTAACTCTTCACTGAGGAGAGCACTGCACACTTGGACACTTTTTCCATTGCAAACCTACTCAGATGACTATTTCCAGCTCTCAAAGGCCTGGTTAGGGCTGTGAGATGCTATGTCTTTAAAAGAAAGTCTTTCCTCTTTTGTGGATAAAACAGTCTTTCCAAATGGATCCATATATAGGTTTCTTATCTCAGACATCAAAAACTGTAACTCTGCCACACACACCGTGCACAGTATGCATACCTCCTCATTCACTGAGCCATGCAAGACTCAAACTGTATGCCACTTTTTGTTTTTTATAGCAGATATGAATATTCACGGTTTTAGCTTATATCCCCTCTAAAAGAAGATCAACGACAGTAAAGTGCATCTAAAGCTATTTTTAACAAGTTAAATAAAAAAAACATACTTTCAAAATTAAACAAAATCTTTTTATAAGCACTTGGTATTATTTGTCAAGGTATGTACCAAAATAGATTTATTTTTTCATTTAGAAAGCTATTAATAAAAACGAATACAAGTACAAACACAGACTGTAGCATACAAAACTCTGATGAAACAACTTGCCAAACACTTTTGCCAATCATCCATGTAGATTGTTAGCTCTGAACTTGTTTTTATACCTCGACTGCTGTCTATGAAAGAGCAAAAATTAATATTTTTTTATTTATATATAATGAATTATAAATAGCTCAGTGTCAGCATTTCTTACTGCTTTCAATCTACTGTATGTCTGTAGAACTGAAATCATACTTGCTGATCTTTTCTAACAACATTTTGAGACGGCGTATCTCCTGTGCCATCAGGGCGTGAGGTGACTATGCAGTGTTTAGCCTTCTCTAAAAATACTTCTGTTTTGCACGTGTAACTGTGGTTCAGAACAGCTTGAGGTGCTGAGATTTTTACAGCAACACCTCCTTCCTCCCCTCCATCCCCTTTATCCATCTCGAACTACAGTGGTTTCTTTATAGCCATTCTGTGGCTGCCACCTTGCTCACTGTTAGCCCTCTGTTACTGCATCCTTTCATCTTATCCTTGCCTTGGTTAGGACTTCCTGGTAGACAGGAAACTGCAAAGTCAGCTGACAGGACATTCCAGAACACCTTCGACTGAACTGTGACAACAACCAGTGAAAAGTAGTAAGTTGTTTTTCAGTCCATTACTCTCCCCTGATACTTTCCTCTCATTCCAGGAGACTGAACAACTGAACAGGACGTTGCTCCTTTTTGGCTGCCAAACATAAGTTTTTTTTCTTTGGGCAGCTGTATCAACAGGGCTTAGATGATACTTCATAGAGTAGGAGCGCTCTCTGAAATTTCATCACTCCCTGGCACTAGAGGATATGCCAGGAATGGGCAGCCTAAATATTTTCACATAGTGAGAAGATCTCACTTCAGCATTCATCTAATTCATTGCAGTGATCTGGAGGGCTGGCACACTGTTATCTTCTCACAAAACACTGTGCTGCTGTAAGCATACTGAAAGCAACTATGGTCTTGTCCTCCAGATTATGTGGTCACATTTCACAAGTTGGAAATGAAAGCAATGTCATCCCTTCACGATCCTGACAATTTAACTTTTCTAAATTATAACTGCACACTGCAGCTAACCATAGTAAATCAGAAAGCAATTTTGGGCAGAACCCGCTTCTTCAGTTTAGTTACCCTGTGTACACTCAAAAAGAGCAGGCTTTTTTTCACTCAAACATGATGACTAGAAAAGTGACAACTGATGAAAAACTCCCACAGTGAAGAATTTCATTTATGTTACGTCAATTGCAAGTGTACCATCAAGAAATGCTTACAGAAAGCCTTGCTCAGATTTATTCTTAGATTTCTGCTCAGAAATCCCACGTTCATTTACTTTCTCTAGCTCTGTACCTTTCTAGAGCTGCTGAAATTAAAATAGTTTTATAGCCTTATTGCTCTGCGAAACAGCTTCAGTAGTTGCATACACAAATAAAGCCTGCAAAGCAGCGGGATCATCTACCACACTCAACTCCTTGCAGCCCCTTTTCTGCACTGACTCTAGAGAGACCACCAGGGTAGCAGGGAATGGGCCATTTCAGAGCTGAAAATTACATGGTCACCACACATCTGGATACTATAGACTGTCAGCAGTGGTTATTGCTCATGGAAGAGCTGCACTAAGCTTGCATAGACGCTAGAGAATGACAGGCACTCATGGCAGACCATGAGAACCAAACCATGAGATGAGAGTTTTTTAAACTCCAAATACACAAACTGGCGATATGATCCTGCAGTTGCCACATTCCTGACTCCAGTCCATCCTCAAGTCTGGCTCAGGCCAGGAGACTTGTTTTGTAGCCTGAGAGCTGAGTCAGTCACACAAGTGGTACACTTGGGAACACACCGAGGCAGATTGGTGATGACAGGCCAAATACTGAGAGATCCCTGATATGGGGGTTTTTCTAGGGAATGATGGCAGTGGCACTCTGTAACTCAGGGGAAAAGTGGGTGATGCTACGATTTGCAGTAATTTGAAGAAAAAAGGGATTTCCTATTTTGAATGTCCTGATCAACCAGGTTGCTTCAAGACAATGTGTCATCTTTCTTTCTCCCACACATCAAGTTTTAAACAAAACAGGACCCTTCATTAATCAATAAAATGGGACCTGTTGTACCCGATCTGACTTATTTGGTATGTTCTCATGTGACTTAAGCAGAATGTTCACTTTTGGTTCAATTTGTCTGTTCAGAACCTAAAGGAGTGAACTGCTTGTCCCTATTGGACACAGTGTGGTACTGAACTGCTTATTGATTATAGAATCAAATCAAACAGGAATAGTGTCTTGTAATTGCTTTGTTCTGTTGTTCTGTTGTTTGTATTGTTCATGCAACCAACATTACCTCAGTAGTTGTAATTTTCTAAGCCAGTTTGGTTCTACAGCATAAAGTAGACTGGAAAGCCAACTGACCTAACAATTCTATTTAATCTCTTAGGGAGTTTTTGGGCCACTCCTAAGAAATGCATGTGAAGAATGACTGACATTATAACAAGTCTAAACCATAATGCAAAGCAGCCCAAGGCCCCCACCGGCACAAAGTTATAAAAAGAGGTCTACTCTGGTGCTTGCAGTTAGTTACAGGAGTAGCCAGAATGGTCTGAAAATATGAACAGCTGCGATGGAACACCTGTCTCTGGCTGTGCCTTTACGGTTTATGGAAAAATTCTCTTTGTTTCACTCGAACTCAGCAGGTATCCAGGAAGTATCCCAGCAGACTTGAAACACCATTTACCATCACAGGATTTCCCATCAAGAATCCCCAGCTCAGAGCAGCAGTGGAGCCCTGTCTGTGTACAGGAGGAGATGGACACAGTTTCCTCTGACCTCAAAGACACCTCAGCTGCTACCCTCTCCTGCCAGTGCTGGACCTCTCCTGCTGCTTCTATGTGCTCTGCAAGTGTGTTTTTTGGACATTTGTGTATTTTATAAGTGTCAATAATCAAGCCAGAATATATCTAACAAAATGTATGACACATTTATGAGTTGCAGTACATAGATTCTACATAAATCTGAAAAATTGTGTTTTCTCAGTATAATATGTGAAAATTCAAATGTAAAATAAATCTTTCACTTTTTAAAATTAGCTAAAACTAAGTTTTTCAAAAGCAAGTCTCCAGATAAGTGTCATGTAGGAAAGTTTCAACAAATCCTATGTTTATTTGTTTATTTTTAAACAGGCCTTTTCAACTAAATCTTTGACCCTTTTAATGAATTTTGTTTGATCCCCATGACTGAATTTTCCTGTAATAATACAATTTCTGGCCAAATGAAACACAACTACCCCTGACACATTGCAGGCATTTGCTTAAAAAGTATATATATTTTTTAAAATGGTCACTGTTTCACCTTTTTAAACTTTAATATCAACACCATCTACAATTAAAGTTCAGCGTTATTTATAAAAAATATAAACATTTTTGTGATACTACAAACCCATACCATTGTTCCAAAGTTTTAAAACCAAACGACTTCTATTTAGAAGACAAAATATTTTAAAAACGAGTTATCGTGGCTATTGGTACCCCTTTATCGTGAAACTGCATTATCACTGCTGTGTCTGCATTTGTGATCATGTGCATGTGTGGCACAGAAAAGAAGAAGCAAATTAAAATCGTTTTCAGAGAACTTCTCCAAGCTCTTTCCTTCAGATCATCATTTACTTCAGCACAAGAAGAAGAAACATCCAACTAGAGAGCCAACAAGAGCCCCTGACGCTTTCAGTTTTACAAGAAATTTCCTCCTTTTCAAAATTGCAGAAAATCCACGCTGAATGTGAATGGCTGTGAGAATTGACTCCAGAGTCATCCCACCCTCTCTTCTCCGCTCCCCATTACCAAACCAGAGCACAGCTCTCTTAGACCCTGCTTATCTAGCTCCAAACATTTGCAGACCAAGCAAGCTGGGGGAATTCTCTCCCGGAAGCATGGAGAACACTAGACCAATGCTGCAAGCACACAATGTCTTCTGACACCCCGGATTCTCTTGACATTCAAAATCAAAGCATTGTACCAAGAGTTAGACCAGGCCGTTTCCTGGTTGAGGTGGCCTTCCTGCCTTGCTCTTGAGGGACACTTTTTCTCTCCTGGCTTTTGCAACCCCACAGCTATCTGTATGGGCACGAAAGGACTCAGTTTCTTTCAATCTGCTCAATGTCCAGCTCCCCATCCAGCTGAAAGACATTCTTCGTGGTCCCCCAAAACACCTGCAAGCTCCCATCGGTCTGCTCTCCATTCGCAGCCGCCTTCTTCGAGTCCCCGCATCCTGCAAAATCACACACCAGCTCCTCATTGGACAAGTCCTCCCTGCTTTCCCCACCCTCCTCTTCAGTGTTTTGGTGAGTCTCCGCCTCCATGTCCCCATCAGGGGTGGAGTCCACGTTGTATTGGCTGATGCTCTTGCAAGAGGGAGGAGCTTGACTGGATTGGCTACAGTCAGCGCCAGTAAACCCGGGGCAGCTGAGGCTGTGGAAATTCTGAAGTTTCTGTGAAGAGAAGAGAGAAGGCCTCTGTGTTATTTATCTCTTCTCTTCGAGCTCATATATTTTCATATAAAATCATTCATGAATGTTTTCCTCTTCCAGTAACACCCTGCTGGCTGAATAGCTACATGTGTCAAAAAGAAGACATGCTCTTCTGTCCAAAAGTGTGCAGGACCTCTGTGTCCACTTAGTTTTTAACTGTGTATGATATTTCACCCTAAAAAAATGGTTTTACAATTATTTCATATCAAGTATCACATGTTAATGCTTCTTAAATATCAGGTGTATGTTTTCATAAAAATTGGAATATTATGAACATTTTCATACATTAAATGGGAACTAATTAAATAAAATGGGAAAAGAAACAGCTGTCATATCACACATTTGAACAAAATAAAAGGCGGTCTTTTCCTTGTATTTTGCTTATAATATACATCTCTTCTCTGGCTAACTGAATTTGCAGTGAGCAATGCAAATCCACAATGTATCTTGATGTGCCATATCAACAGACCCTCATTGTTTAAGGATCATGACATTTAGCAACATTAGACACACTTTCTAACAGTGGCTAGTGTTTAGCCAGTGTTTGTTTCCATGGCAATTGAGTATTTACATAGTAAAATGACAGACTTTCTCCAGCTTATGCCCTTTTTCATCACAGTTCCTGTTGGCTGTCATTTTAAGTGCACTGAAAGCATGGAACTTAATTTTCATACCACACTTAAAACTTGCATATACAGTCATTACTTTCACAGATATTACTTCCTCTACAAGAAAGTAAGATTCTGCTTGATTAAATAAAGTATAAAACGTGGTAAAAGAAACAGTTGAAATACAGAGAAGAGGATTTTAAAACTCATTGGAGCCATAATTTATAAAGTTTTGAGATAATCCCATTGCACATTAAACAACTTAATATGTCCAAAAAGACACCATTGTACAGCACTCCATGGGGACTTTGGGCATGTTGCAATCATTTACAACACGGTCACCTTGCATGGGAAGTCCCACGAAAACAGTTGTGTGAAACTTAAACATTAAAAACGTGTGTGTGACCAAGCTACACGAGGTTAAGATCTGCTTTTATCTAAACAAGTAAAACACTCATGTCAGCACATAGCTACCAATACTGACATTGTTCCTCTTCCTTTGTTCCCTAAAACTGACCAAGAGCACAAAATGCATGCACGACATGTGAGTCCCTTCTGAAGAAGACAAGCATGAGGGTAAGCAGCCATCCTCTGTGGCTAACCTTGTTACACCCAAGTGCTGGGGACTCAGGACAACTGTAGTTCATGACCCCCCCCAAGTGTTGTTGCTGTTCCTCAAACCCCACCACCACCACCACCCCTGGACCGATTCTGGGAACTGTGCTGCGCCTCCCTTCCCAGCTGCAGGAGAACAGGCTGTGGCTCCACACAGACATGCAGAAATGGAGAGCAAGCTCAGAAGGTGGCAGACAAAGGGAATGGTTTTGAGAAAAAAAACATCAAATTAGAAACTGGTGTTGCTTTCTAGAGGATCAGCAGGAGATCACAGAATTCCCACTGACTGCTATGGCCGTGCCTCCACATCCCATTCCTCAACACCTTTCCATCAATCACTCCCGATATCACTTCTACTCGTCTACTCTTCTTTCCTTCTGCATCTAATCTTCCACTTTCCCCTGGCTGCATCATCATAGCAGCACGTCAGCGTCTCACAATGCTTCAAGAACTGAAGGCTGGCGCTCGGTTTCACCTTGGAATCCCCAGGCATTATCTATGCCACATGTCAGCATTCTGAATGTGCTTCACATTACAGTTCTGTGTCTTAAAGGCAACAGTTCTGGGGGAGAATTCCTAGTGCTTGCAGTTTCCAATTTCTTTGTTTTGTTTACTTCATTTTTTCCTCCACAACCCCCCACCCCCCTTATTCACCCAAGTTAAAGTAGGACTATAGGGTTTGTCCCAGCTGGGGAGTTGACAGCTGCTTGGAGAAATCAGGCAGCAGAATTAAAGAAATATCTTTGACAGGCCCTGCCAAGAACACATAGACATATTCTAAAGCACATAGTTCTTTCTCACTGCCTAGGGAACAGTGAGCACAGGAGTCACAAGCATACACCAAAATTCAATTTTGCATGAATATTCTATTTCAATTAATAAAACCCTTAAATAATCTACCTGTACACTCAGAGCTTAATAAATGAGCAAAATCCCATGTAAAGCACTTGAACAGTGAGTACATACTAACATTGAGAGTTTGGTTAACCTCTCCCTGACACTGAGCAGGCTGGCCAGTGCAGGACTCAGAGCTGATCTGCTGGATACAAGTCAAGGCATGTTCTCCTCCACTCCCAGAGAGCAGGCACACACAGGGCTGCAATGAGAGGGATGCCCACTATTCCTGGAATGAAGCATCAGGGAGAGGGAAATTACCCACCTCTTGTGACCCCTGAGTCCCAGCCAGCAAAATGATATTTAATAGCTTAGAACTAGAACCCCTTCCATGTCCTTGCGATACGCTAGTTAATTTCTAGCTTTAAAAAAAAACAACTTTCCAAACAGACATTAAAAGGTGTGCCTAAGTAAAACCGATACAGTAAAAAAAACACAAGCCTTTTACAAATTACACGTGAGCAGACATGCTAGTATATAGTCACATGTGAAAAGACATGCTAGTATAAAAGGTTTGTTGAAAAAAAAAACAGAACAACATAAGATAGATCCTGCAGGGCTAAACCAGAGCACATAATGAACTCTGAACCTCTTACAAGATCAGCTACCCTAAATTTAGCTTTTTTCTATATTTTCACAGCAAGACAGACAAAAAGTACAGGAATTAGAAATTAAGACATTGACAGAAAGATCCCTAGCATGTGCTATGCAATCTAATTAAGGTAAAGCAAACAGCTTCAAATTCTGGACTATTTCCATGTTTTTAGTGTCTAAATTAGTTCTAATTGAAACTGCCGTTGAATTTTCAGCTCATTTACAGACTTCCAGCCTCAGGACTCCCAGCTTGTCCTCCAGCTGAGATTAAGGAGCATGTATTTTAAAGGAACAGAGTGTTGTCATGATCAGATATCAGTGTTGTTACACAGTAATTAACATAAAGCAAATAAAATCTATTCCAATGGATCCCGAGGTTGTAGAAGTCATTTTACCTCAGTTTTTGACATAGTTAAAATCCAACAGGTCGCTAATCTGGCTTTATACGGGTGAATGTAATAATTAGCTCAACCACTTTGAATAGCGAAAGTGCAAGTGGACTGCATGAAAAACCGTCTATGAAAAGAAACAGACAACATCTCTGGGTATGTGTGTGCGCATGAGTGTGTGTACGTGCGAGGAGGAAGAAACCAACTACTCAGGATGTTAGTAAGTGTGTGAACTCCGTGGAGGCAGATGTGTAGGTTTACGACTCAACGGACTGTTGCAAGACTAACTTGAATCAAACGGCAAGCGTGAAAGACATTTTTGAACAGACTTTGTAGCAGTTATGCAACAAGACATTGAAATATCTTCTAGAGAGAAAGCAATGCGTTTTTAAATACAAAAGTAAGAAGAACTTGTAGTTAAGACAATGCCATCCTTTTTTATGCTGAAGACATTCTGGTACTAAGGTCTGCAGCAAACACTTCTTTAAAAACAAAACGGGTACCTTTTGAGCATTATGAATACAAAATCAATCACTGCACTGTAAATGCACTGCCCTGCCTTTCGGATCTGCTTTCATCTTTAGCCTTGCAGGCTGACTGGACTCGTCAAGCACCTCACAAACCTCATCAGTTGCCAACCACAAGATGCAAGTTCTCGCGGCCGCCAGGCCGACTTGACTTTCTCTTTCGTCGTATGACAGCAGCAGCCAGACCTACATTTCCACATTTAAATACAGGATCCCCTTTCCGCTGGACGTTTTATCACCAAAGCACTATTCCGACCTTGAGTTTGACCCCAAGACTATCAGCAAGATTTGAACCTTCACCACTCAGCGCGCTGCAGATCGGAATTTCCAACCACGTGTCCGTGTTGTCGAGAGCATGTGGCTAGCGGGTTAAGTGTGTACGTGCTTGTGTCGACATATGCAGGTAGCACAACTCTGTCTTGATGCATGTGCAGTTGTTTTCAAATAGAGCAGTACATCCAAAGTGGAAAACATTCATGAAAGCTGCCAGATATTGCCAAAGCAAAACAATAACGCACTTCCCATTAACAATGCATTGAACAGAATTAAACAAACACATAACACAAACTTTTTATGCAATAGGATTAATTAAAGTTAAAGTGACTGCAGAGGACTGACTGTATACTTAAAAATAAAACACTTTCCCTTGTTTGCAGGTTTAGTTGTTGGTATTTAACAAAGTAAAAAAATGAAAAACATCTGGGAAGTAAGTCTTTTTCATTGCTAAAAAGTTTAAAGTTTGTTAAATGCTGGAGGATTGTGACTCTACTGCAGACTCAAGCCTCTAGAGCTTTATCAAAAATGACTGGTGAAACAGAAAGCAAACCAGACTCTGGGAAGTCGGGGGACTCTCGTTAACTACTGGAGCAAGCTCCCCGTGCAGAGAAGTTCCCCGTGCAGGTCAGGCCAGGGTGTGAGAGAGGGTAAGGCAGAGGCAATAGGAGAAGCTTATCTGAGTCCATCTGTCCTAAATGGAGACCATCTGAAAACAGCACAACACCACCCTGCCTATTTGTGCCTTAGGCAATAAACATTGATTTTGCAATGAAGAAATGGGTGAATAATGTCTAATCCTCTTATTTGTTTTTGAAATTCACATATTCTTGATTGATAGAGTCACCAAGAATAACATTGAGGGGTTTAAAGTCTTGGATGGGTGACGTACCTGTGGGTTTTCATTTCAACTTGACTCTTCATGAACTACATCAGCTCATTAATGGCTTAAAAGGAACAACTTCTTCCAGCTCTACAGGTGCTTCTCCTTCAACAAGTCTCTGAACACCCACCGGCCCTCCAGGACCAGGACTACACAGCCTTGCTTTCAGCTCTTGTTTAATCCAGACGAAATTCCCCGACATGACATTCTATACCAGTTTAGTCCTGTCTAAGCAGGTGGAATGGTCTTTAGTTTGCTTTTATTACTCATGTGGAGGCTGGGTTGTTTATCCTGGAGTCCTAAGCAATGACCCAGAAAGCCTAATTTACCCATATTAAGTTTCACCATTATAAACTCAAGCAAAAAAGGCTGCGCTCATAAGCGAAAGGAGTAATTTCAAAGGACGTTTTGATGTAGATATAAAGTTGTGCCAATGCCAGATCTTTATGTATTTAACCTTTTTGTTGCAAAGTCAAAAACCGATGTCATGGAATACTGTCATATAGCATATCTACACTGAGATGTTACAACACCTCATAAGGAAAGGCAATAGGGCAGGTTAATGGTTAATGTTTAATGTACACTCTTGGCTTCATCCAGTTTCAGTCATGCACAAGATGAGCCAAATGCTCGTTAGTTAGACAACAGATGAGATTAAACAGCAAGACACAGCTCAGCCCAGGGTGGAACATCTGTTTGTTTGGGAGGGACCCAAGACTGATCAGACCAGAGGGGACACCTGCGAGAATCCAGTCCCAAAAAGTGTCTCCTCTCACCCTCCTGCACTTGAAGCCTACTCTACATGTACAGGACAGTGTATGCAAATTGCCTCTTTTTGCAAGAGCAAAAAGCTTTAAAACTGTATCCTTCTGAGTATCACCTTTGGTTAAATTCCTCTTTGTACACTGAATCCATTCATTGTGCCACTGGATATGGCTATTTTTAATCAGAGCTTTTTTCTTGTTACATTCTCGTCTGTGTTATGTCACTGATCAGACTTCACCCCTGTTCAGACTGAGAACTGATCAGATTTTCAAACTTGAGGTGTCTTTTGTGCCATCAGATGCCTACCTGAGTCATCTTGGCAAGGTCGAGGGAGGGCCTCTGCTCCGGAGCCTCCTCCGGCCTCCTGCGCTTCACGCCGATCTTCTTTTCGTTCAGGACGCAGGGCTGCGAGCGGCTCCTGGACAGGCCCCCGGGACCCGCACGGCGCCCCAGCTCGGGCGTGGAATCGGGGGAGCTGTCAGCAGAGGGCCCGCGCGGCTCGGGGAGGCAGATCTGTTCATGGGAGAGGGACAGAGGCCGCGGCCCAGCAGCCGAATCCCCAGTTGCCTCGCTGGTGGAGGAGGAGGAGGAGGAAGGAGGGGAGGGCTGGAAACCAGCGATGGGGAGGCAGGCCGTGTGCTGGGGGAAGGCATTGGAGCGGGCCGGCAGACTGAAGCTGGAGCTGCGCTGCATGGCGGGATACCCCGGGAGGGTGCAGGGGCCGCGCTGAACACTCCCCCCGCTGTGGCACCGCCGCTTCTCCACCGCCGTCCAGACCCGCGAGCCCTGCGGCCGCCACGCCGGCCGGCACACGCTCAGCTCGTCCGAGAAGGACAAGGAGCGGCACTGGCGCTTGCTGGGCGGCGCGGCGGACGGGCTGCCCTTGGCGTCACTCAGGCTCAGGTCCCGGATCAGGTTAGTGATGGCACTGGCTGCGCCCGCCTCTTTCACCCAGCCCCGGCTGCCCTGGTACGGACCCGGCAGCACGCCCCACAGGCACTCCAGGCTGGCACCCCCGGGGTCCTTCTGGAAGGCACAGCCCCGGCCCAGGTCCCGCCAGCCGTCGCTCTCTGAAATAAGCACAGAGCCTGTCAAGACCAGTAGGGGAACATGCTGCTGGAGATAACGAGCTTAATTTTTCACTGGGGGCAGACTGAGGGCCCACTGCCCATCGAATTAATTTAACAGAGTGGGCAGCTTACTCACCGTTATTTCACAAAGACCTGTGAGGATCAGTGAATTGAACCCAAATTCTAGTCTTCAGAGGTATAAGAAAAAGCTTTCCACTTAAGTGAAAATTCCACTGCATGCACAGGGTTGTACATGTTTTTTCCATTATCATACGCTGCCCATATCGTTACAGAGTCCTTTTTTTATTTCCCCCTCCCAAAAAAAAAAACAATAACAAAAGGGAAACCGGACTGAACTTGTCTCTGAAGGTCTTACACTTGATTTCATAACAAACGTCTGCTAAGTGGAGGCTGAGGTCAGGCCAGCAAGACAAAGAAGCCAGAAATAGCTGCTCCTGGTTAATGGCAGGCAGCCATGACCTCAGAGGGCTGCAGAACTGAGGAATATCAGGAATGACTGCAACATCTGCTAGATCACCAAGCCTAGAGCTCTGTGCAGCTCGACACAACAAGAAACTTTGTAAGTGTGGCAACTCAAGTACCAATCACATCCCCTTACAGTCCAAACCACCTATGAGCGCTCCTGTAACGTAGAAAAGCTCGCCTCTTCTGAAGTGACCTGGTGGCTTGCGAGTGCAAATTTTTTTCTTTTTGTTATTTTGTGTTCTTTGTGTTTGTGATGCAATTTATCAGTCTAAGAAAACACACGTTTTAATTTTTAATACCTATGTAAGTTATAAATATATTTTAATATACCTTTGGAATTACAACCCAGAGAAACGTACTTTGGTCTATTGATACACCAAAGAAAGAAGTTAGAAGAAAAGATGAAAGAAGGGAGGGTTGAGACAAAAAGAAGTCCTCTAATGTCTGTGATATTAGGCAACGTACACTCATTGAAGAATAAACTAAAATGAACTGCAAGCGAATGTCACTTATCAACAAGAGTATGGAGATGCATCTACCCTTGCCTATAAAGAGACGTGGCTAAAGACCCAGGTCACCGATCAGGACTTGTGACCGTGAAAGACAGTACTGGTCAGGAGACAAAGGGCGGGGTCTGTCTCTTGAGTTAATCAAAGGAGGTGTAAATCTGTAATTGTGTGAGAGATAGAGAGCTTTTCTCCACCCATTACATTTACCTCATGAATTCCTGCAACTTTTTTTTGTGTTAGTGTATACCCCTCCTCCCACCAATACAAACAAGGCAGCCGAGTACATCAATGCCAATGTTATTAATATAATGGATTCCGTCTCTGCTGAAGCCCCTAAGTTTATTTTAGAGGATTTTAATCATTGCTTGCTGGAAAGTGGTTCACCATATCACCAGTATGTCAACTGTGATACATGCCATAAAGAAATCCTTGACAGATGCTATGGATCTCTCCCTGGAGCATATCGGTCATTCTCTATGCCTGGTCTGGGTACTGCTGATCATAATACCATCCTGCTTGCTCCTGCCTACAAGCCAGGAGTCAAGCACACAGAGGCAGTTGTGAAAACGGCACTAATTGGAATACTCTCATAGGTTCATACATTACTTTCTGTGTTGTTAAAGAAATTTCCTGTTTTACTAAGGAACACTTAAGGAAAGAAAACAAATAAATAAAGTTAAACATGCAAGAGGGCAAGCAAAAGTTATCTATAAAAACATAGGAGAAATGTAAGCAATGCAATCTCCACACTTCCTGGAAGGACATTAAAACAATGGCTGCAGTCAACATTAATGAGGGCTGCAAATTCATCCAAGTGGTTAGAAGTAGTGGAGAGACCTTACCTGTCGAGTTAAATACGTTTTTTACTTGTTTTGAAAAGTATAATTTCTCCTCTCAACTCCAAGAAAAATACTACAAATATCAACTTGTAGGGTTGCAAACTATTTTTAAAAGATCCAGGTTAACAAAGCAGCAGGTCCAGATGGAGCAGAACACTAAAGCATTGCGCTGAAGAACTGAGTGGAGTGTTTCAAAACCTATTCCAGCTCTCTTTAGATACAGTTACTGTTCCAGCTGTTCAGAGGCACTCTACAGTTGTACCTGTTCCTAAGAAAAACAGACCTAAAGCTCTTTATGACTTGAGGCCAATAGCCCTGACTCCATTAATAATGAAGACTCTTGAAAAATTAGTCAAGTCACACAGTGTGGCTGCAACAGAGTCAGATCTTCACCCCTTCAGTTTGCTTGCTGTCCTTTTCTACTAGATGTTATTTACAAACATGTACAGTGGAAAAATTCTTCAGTTAGACTTCTCTTTGCTGATTTTTCATCAGCCTTTAATATAATGCAGCATCACTTTTTGGTTGAAAAAAGTATCGCATATTTCAAATTAGATCAACAGATTATCATGTGGATTATTATTTTTCTGACCAATAGTACCCAAAATGTACAAATTAATGACTTGGCATCCAACCCTGTTTGTACTTCTACTGGCTCACCACAAGGCTACCTTCTTTCTCCCCTCCTCTTTAGCTTATACTGATGACTGTCGGAGTACCTATGAAAATTACTATATCATCAGCTTTGCTGATGATGGTATTAGTCTCTTTCCTCTCAGAGCCCGGACAAACACATTAACCTATTCTGAACAAATTCATCACCTGGTGCGATACTGTATTTCATACCTATGGATGATTGTGTCAAAAACCAAAGAAATGACTGTTGATTTAAAAAACAAAGCAATATCATTCCCACAACAATCCATGGTGAGTTCATTGGTATAGTTCTCAGTACAAATGCCTGGGCACCGTGTTTGATGATAAACTTATGTCTACAGAGAACACTGATGTCATTGTGAAGAAATCCCAGCAGCGCTAATATGGTTTGAGAAAACTGAGTTCCTTTGAAGTCCTTAAAAGAATTCTATAGCTATTTTAAGAATGTATAGCTCTTTTAATGAAAGTATTTAAACCTTTTTCTTTTATCTGTTGCTTCACTTCACTCAGTCAAAAAGACAAGAACCGGTTTCTGCAGGTAGTGAACCTCAGCTCTGAAATCTTTGGTAAGCCTGTAAAACCTCTGGCACAGCTGTATGCCCGGCAGAGCCCAAGGAAGATCTGTGCCATCAGTGAAGAGCCATTTCACATCCTTCATCAGGCTGATCTTTTGATTCCAGGAAGATATGTTTGCTGTCCACAGTGCAAGACGAATAAAAGATAATTTTGCTTTGTTCCAGAGGTCACCAGGCTCACAAACAATGAGTGTAAGAAAGTTATATAGATATGATCTCTATTGGATAGAGCCCCTCTGCAAATGTACATGTAATTTAATACTTTCAGAAAGTATGATCTGATTATTATATTATTCTGTAGTATAGGACACAGTCAATGCAAAGCACATGAACTTTGTTACTTTCATAATCATTTTAAGGAGCTTCTGCTGTTTTTCTTTTCTTAGAAATGTTGCAATACTATGTTTGTTACCACTTTATGTGAAATGTGTTGCATGTTGCACAGCTTGCTGCTTAAATTTCACCATTGATAATGAATAAAGTATTCAAATTTAATTGAAACAGCTGCTGCTTAAGTCCTGCTTAACTACATATAAGATGTCACTGTCAACAGATCATATGAAAGGCAATTTCCTACAATTCCATTAAGCCAACATTCTCATCAGAAGCTTTAGGACAGATGAACTATTTACTGTCTAGAACCCCATTATTCCTGAGTGGCAAGTATCATTTTGTCAGTGATCCTGAAAACATAAGGTGTAGTGCTAGTAATGTGCTTTATCTTCTACAGCTTATCTGCATGATATCTCAGTCCTCAAGTGGGGAACATGTCTGCTTGTTCATCTAACAAGTAGCCATCTAGCAGACTCTTCTTGAATTTAGTGAAATGTACTGCTGATCTGTATCTTAAATGCAGATCAATCCCTGGAACAGGAGCAGGCCCTGTGCCTGTGTTCCAGTATCTTTTTTTAGCCTCATAGCTTCTTTAGTAAGCTGTAAAACTGCTGCCAATGTCAAACCTTTGTTTCTGTAAAATCAGGATTTCCTAGCTAGTCTTACATCACCTTGCTAAAACCACCCATTACGTGTGAGTTTATACAACGGGTGCTCTCAGAGCACATAATAACACCCAATGTATTTATATACATATTAAATAGCATTACCGTTCTGATTACACTGTAATTTAGAGTGGTATTCTTTACCTCTGAAAGGTTCAATGCTTATAATAGTTACTTAATGGGAATGAAAAATGCAGAGGCACTGAAAATAGACAAGATTTTATCTACAACCAGGACAGCGTATGAGGTTCCCTTTCTTTTAAACAAGAGTGTTTGTTTTAGTAGTATGAAATGCTTCTATTATTCTGACGCCAACAGGTGAATTTCCACTTTGTAAGTTCTGCAGATGTTTATCTCATGCAGACAGCCATGCCTGAACCAGCGCTCCTGGAGGGATACAATGAAAGACAGAGACACAGGGGACCTCCAGTGTCCAGCTGCCTGGGCTCTGTGGATGGGGAAAACAGGAACAAAGGGATCAAGCAGCAGCTCCACTGCTGCACCTCCTCGTGCTCGGAAGGTAAAGGCTCTAATTACTGGTTGAGAGGCTGCAGTGCACTTCAAACAGAGAATGTGTGCCAGGCCTCAAACAGCAACAGCCGCATCTTCCCTTATTTCACACGCAAAAAGAAAGGAGCGTTCCAAACACCAGACCTAGAATCCCAACAATGCACTCTCCGTGGGTATGACAGAAAACAATAACACTCTGAAAAACACCTACCACTGTCAGTCTAGTGCCATCAGCCAACAAGTGTGCCAGTGCGCAACAGCACAGGCACACAAACCCCTATTGATTTTCTATGGGCTTGCATGTGCCCATCTTGGTTCAACCCAAGTCCAAAGAATGCTTTTCTAAGTTTTTTTTTCTTTGTTCTTTTGTTAGCCAGATTAATTGTTTTGAGACCATTATATAATAACCGTTTTGGCAGTGGTATTGGTTTTGTTTTCCTACACAGAAAATTGAAATGATGTTCACATTTTGAAATATATACACCCCCCCCCCCATTTATGAAACAGCCACATCTTTCATTTCAACTCAACGGATGAACTGAGCGACTGCCTGTCCTCTTTCTTCATGGAACATACTTTAGGAATGCCAGCGAGATCGAGAAGGAATTATTTGAAAGGGATTAAATTTTGAATTATTTGGTATATGAAAAATACTTATTTTCCTGATGCTTCACTTGTAAGATTTTTAAACCATTTAGCCTAACATTCCACCTTATACAAAAAGATTTTAAACAATCGCCAAATGCTAATATTCAAGAGAACAACAGAGAAATTCCTTTACCAGTGTCCTTCATTCTCATGCAGAGCTCCCGCTGTACAAAAAGGTTTTACTCACATTAAACTGTTACAACACAATTACTAAATGGTGAGACTCATCAGTAGGAACAATCTTTTTAACGACTGTCTTCCTGTGCTGGTGCTAAGATGAGGTGTGAAAAGATGACTGCTGTCACTATACATTCAGCGGGGTTCCAGGTGACTCTTGACATTTGCAAAAAATAAACTGTTGAAGGAAGTAACAAAAGCTTAATTATAGTTAATTCCCAGGAGCTCAATGAGCATTGTAGCATAAAGCCAGGTGCACAGTATAAACTATACACAAAAATATATATGAGGAGAGAGATACTGTAGTAAAAGGGTTTTATTCCTATTCCACATTGCATGTCCTTTAAGTTTTCCATTTTTTCCCCTTTTAGAGTAAATGTAGACTAAAAGAAATGGAGTAAATACAATAAGCCTCAAAAGAATCATGATTGGTATAGTTGCAGTGTGTAAAATTGAAAGGGGTCAGATTGCTAAGCAATAGGTTTTTAATTCCATCCCTGTTTTATAGAGGGAGACAGAGGTGAATGGTCTTTTTCCACTTACCCACAACTCCGCAAGCGTAGAGAGCCGTCCCTTTGCTCATCTTCTGAGGCTTCTGCTGTGAATCACCAGAGCAGCTCTTAAAACCAGAATATCTACCCTATTGCACAAGCCTACACTACAGTACAGTATGTCTCTGGCTGCACAGGGGCAGCTGACAGAAACACATCATTAACCAGAGAGATAATTAAAAGGGAAAAGCCCTGCAATACTGCTGATCTCTCACTGAATCAACAAAAAAGTTAAGCCTTTTTTTTTCAAAAAAGAGAAAAAACAACTGTACTTAATGTTTGCAGGTCATGAATAAACATTTTTTAAAACCAAAAATTCAAAACTATTATGTGCATAGAACTAAATATTACATCTATACAATTCACAAGTATATATAACCACTGTATATGCATTTGTTTTATGTTGTTTCCAAAGGTCTGCCCAGCAGTACAAGTGTTTTCAAGATAATTATGACATTATGATGTAAAAGCACACTCAAAATAGTATCTATATAAAATTCCACTGCATTATATTCATTTACCATAGAAATTAATACTGTCCTTGTCAGTGAATAAAGATTTTAATAAGAGTTAATTCTGCTTTGAATCATTCATATATTAGTTCTTTCAGATAAAACTGTTTGGCAGATAACAGAATCGGTTCGCATACTGAAACTGAAAAGTTACAGTTCTTTAACCACACCCTCATAATTATTCTTTGTCCTGTTAACATTCATTAAGCTACCACTTCTGACATTCCTAGCAATGAAAAAAACAGGAACATAGCAACTTGTTTAATCATCTCCAAGTTTGTGTTGAGTTTTTATTTCAGTCCTAATTCTGCCTAACAGAACTAAGTCAACCTATAATGACAAGCTAACTTCACTGTAGACTATTCACAACCCTCATCAACATTGACAAACCAGTGGGCTTCGGATCAAGTAACTACCAGCTACCAAAAGTGCTAAATGGGTCAAACAGCTTTCTCTTGTTTGTAACATGTGTATTCACACTGAACCGAAACACTGGCATTGCTCTTAATACATTAGGAATTCACTAGTTTACCTTTAACTTTCATTTGTTTATTAACTGCTCAGTGAAGAGAGCTGTATTTGTGGTGGTCTGGTTGTCACATGAAGAGGATGAAATTAAGCTGAATTTTTGCTTGCCAGGTACGAAGACTAGTGATACTAAGAAGCACAGACTTCGTACAGTTTCTTGTCGACCTACCATTTCATAGATTCTTTCGCAGTTCAGTTACATAAGAAATATATTTTCTGAAATTCTTCTGTTTTCAAGATTTTAAGAGCAAGTAAATGTAACTTTAATCAGCATGATCTGTATGAGCCACATATTACGCTACATTTTATTCCTTATCAAAACTACATTATGGTGCATAATGTCCAAAGTGTAATTTACAGTTTTATTCCCAAAATCAGAAGTTATTGATCAGTCAGTGCATCTTATAAATATTACTAAAATTAGTCCTACAACATGCACCTTAAGAAAAGAAATGAAAATACTTGACTTAGCAACTAAGTTTTCAACATTAGAAATCTACAATTTGGCATTTAACACATTGTACTGCTTACATTTATACAAGTTATCTCTTACCAGCTCCGAGTCTGATGCCTTGCAGGTTACATCATCGACACCCTTCTTCTTTTCCAGTGTTTTTGGGTGAATGATCACCATGGTAATGCACATCTTTGCCCGAGCCTGTTCCAGTGCACACCAAGGCGTTCGGAAGTCATCTTTACCGGTGGCTCTTCAAAACTAGTCTTCCGGCTAGGCAAAGGGGCTCATGTCCCATCAGCCAAAGTCCCGCCGATCCTACTGGAATGTCCTCTGCAGCTCCTTCACTCCCTGTGCAAACAAAGACAGACACCCTGTGAGGCTGTGAAGAGCTTTGTTTCCCACGTCATAAACTAAAGACAGAGCAGCAAAACTACAGGCTGCAGACACCCTGCAGCTCCATTTCCCAGTGACCTTTACACAGCATTTTGTTACAGTATCACCAAGGGAAAAACTCCAGCTTTGGGTGTGACGCTGCTGCCACACACACTGAGAAGGAGGCCCAGCACACTTCAAGTTTAACACCCTCCATCTCTGGTACCCTGGAAGTAAGGGCACCAGATATGGAAAAAAGAAAGCAAAAACAAAGTATAAGTTCACAAGCACAAGCAGTCAAGCAACCACGTTCTCTCAGACTGATATAGATAAAATAACAAGCATAACAAGTGATGCATGTGAAGTCCGTATACTGGTAGGTCACACCTTAAACACCCACATACAGTGCCTATAGAAAGTCTACACCCCCCTTGGACTTTTTTACATTGTATTGTGTTACAGCATGGAACCCGGACGTATTTAACTGAACATTTTTGCCACTCATCAACATAAAGTACTCTATAATGTCAAAGTGAAAAACAAAATCCAGACATTTTAATAAATTAAAAATAAAAAATAGAAAATAATTGAATGAATAAGTATCCCCCCCCCAGAGTTAATACTTGGTAAGACCACCTTTGGCAGCAATTACAGCTGTGAGTCTCTTTAGGTAAGTCTCGATCAGTGTTGCACATCTTGACAATGGAATTTTTGCCCATTCATCTCAGCAAAATTGCTCAAGCTCCATCAAGTTGGATGGGGACCTTTTGTGAACAGCAATTTGTATGTCATTTCACACATGCTCAATTCGTCTGGGCTTTGATTGGGCCACTCCAGGACATTAACCTTTTTGGTTTTAAGCCACTCCAGTGTGGCTTTTGCTGAATGTTTCGGGTCATTGACCTGTTGGAAAATGAATCATCTTCCAAGTCCCAGTGCTCTTGCGGATTGCAGCTCATTTTCCTCCAGGATTTTTCTGTACCGAGCTCCATCCATTTTTCCTTCTATCGTAATGAGTTTTCCAGTCCCTGCTGCAGAGAAACATCCCCAAAGCATGATGCTGCCACCACCATGCTTCACTGTAGGGATGGTGTGCTCAGTGTGATGTGCCGTGTTGGGTTTGCACCAAACATAAAGTTAAATTTTGGTCTCATCAGAGCATAGAATATTCCTCCAAATTGTTGAGTCTCACATGCCTTTGGGCAAACTCCAGCCTAGATGCGATATGAGATTTTTCCAACAAAGGCTTTCTTCTCGCCACCCTTCTGTACAAGCCAGATTTATGAAGCGTGCGTGCTATTATTGTCTCATCTACAGTTTCTCCCATCTCTGTCATGGAGGACTGTAACTCCTTTAGAGTTGTCGTAGGCCTCTTGGTGGCCTCCCTTACTACAGCTCTTCTTGATCGAACACTCAGTTTTGGAGGACTGCCAGTTCTGGGCAGATTCACCATTGTTCCATATTTTCTCACCTTTTTAATGATGGACTTCACTGTGCTTCGAGGTATATTCAATGCTTCGGAAATTTTCTTGCCCTGACTGGCATTTTTCAAGAACCTTGTCTCAGACCTGCTTGGAATGTTCCTTGGTCTTCATGGTGTAGTGTTTCCTTGGAAAGACAGTAAGTGGGGAAGCTCCCAGACACAGGTGTATTTATTCTGAAATCATGTGAAACACCTCAACTGCAAACAGGTGGACTCCAGTCAAGTAGTTATGTGACTTGGAGAAGAGAGTTGGTTACTTCAGAGGTAATTTAGGTGTGTCAAAGTGAGGGGAAGAATACTTATGCATTCAATTATTTTCTGGTTTTTATTTTTAATTAATTTAGTAAAATGTCTGGATTTATTTTTTAACTTTGACATTACAGAGTACTTTGTGTTGATGAGTGGCAAAAATTTTCAGTTAAATACATCATAGTTCCATGCTGTAACACAATAAAAGTGAAAAAGTCCAAGGGGGGTGTAGACTTTCTATAGGCACGGTACTTACTCTAAATCCACCTACACTAGAAAGCACACACAATACAGTGCCCTTAAAAAGTATGGATACAGCAAAGTCAAAACTTATTGTTGCTCTACAGTCAAGCAATTTGTACTTGTGATCATAAGATTAATTAAGTACAATATACTGTTATGTACAGTACAATTTGTTTTGGGGTAACCCCAAGGATAGGAAAGGATCATCTAGTTTTTTCACTGTTTTCTTCTAATGTACTCTGGTTGCATTGGCATTATGTTTTGGGTCATTATCATACTTCACGGTGAAGCACCGCCAAAGACTTATGAAAAAACTTTCCATGGAAAGAAACAAACTTACAGACAAAATGTTTCTGAAAACATCAGAATTGATTCTGCTTCCACCCTTAGTTACATCCTCAGTAAAGATGAGTGAGCCAGTCTCAGAGGCAGCCATGAATGACCAGGCTGTAACACTAACTCCATAATACTTCACAGATGAGGTAGTGTTCTTTGGAACATCTGCAGTTCCTTTCTTTCTCCAAACTTTAACCTTTCCATCGCTTTGGTAAAGCTTCATCCTGGTTTTATCTGTCCATAAAACATTATTCCAAAACTCTCCTGACACACCTTTGTATTTCACATCGGATTTCTGGTTCTGATGAAGTTTACATCTTGCGGTGTAATCTTTGCAATTCTGCTGTTTCAGTGTTCAGCAAATTTTGAATTTTGATACCTTCACCCCTGCACTCTGGAGGGCGTTGGTGATTTCACTGACAGTTGTTTTACGGTTTTATTTGACAGTTCTGATAAATTTTCTTACATCAAATGCAGCTGTTTCAATTTTGGCTGATTGGTAATTATACCTGTGGTTTCTTTCTTCTTCAATATATTCCAAATAGTTGACTTTGGAATAAACTGAAGTTTCTGTGCTATGGTTCTAATTGAGTTTTCCTTTTCTTTCAGCATCAGAATGTGCCAGATTTTCTTAATTTTCTAGGACTCTAAGTACTGATGCTAGAGCAAGTCAGGTTAATTCAATGTACACAGCTCTCTTGTGGGTGCCTAACTACCCAACAAGAGACACCTGTCCACTAAAATAAAGACGCGTAAGGCTATCAATTTGTTTAATTGACCCAAGAGGGTAGAAGTACACGGACTTTATAAAAAAAATGTTTTTATTTGATAGGAGCTTCCATGTGAAGTCATTAATAATAATAATAATAATAATAATAATAATAATAATAATAATAATAATAATTATTGTCTTATAATATTTATATTATTTGTTTTCCTGCAGTATTCAATGCACCACATCACATTATCAATAGCCAAATCCCCACCTGGAATTCCCAGGCAAACTTGGATATCTGTGTGACCTTCTGGTTATCCAAACATCTCTCTCTATTAGCACTCTGACACAAGCTGTTAAACAGCTGATTAGAGACAGATGTAAACCTGCAGCATTTAATCCTGTTGCTTGGTTACCACTCTATATGTTATATGAATCTTTTTAGGCTTGATAAGGGTTGTCTACCTACGTATCAAAACACCTGCAGGGGACATAACTGTCCGTTACAAACATTATGAACATAAATGAACAGAGCAAGGCAGAGACAAAGGAGGAGGGAAGGAATAAAGCCCGCCGACCTAGTACTGGTCCTGGTAGTGTCCTCCGAACAAAGGACTGTTGTGCGAAAGATAAAACACCGTGGGAAACAAAGGAGTGACATCAGGAAGGAATCACAAGACCCCAATGGCCATTCACTGGGGAGAGGGGAGCCAAGGACAATCCTCACAGGGCGAATAGAGACAGCCAGTGTTTCATTTCCATCACTCAAAGCCAACTGCATGCATATGATTCACATTACTGTCATTTAAAACTACATGTCAGCATCGTAAAATGGGCCTTGTATGGCTAATTTTCGAAAGGGAACTTGGGTTCTTGCTTTACTGGAAATTACCTTTGGGTCATGGGTTGAACAACAGCCCCGTCTCCAGAAAGATCACAAGACAGGGGCAAACCTCAGTCCAAATTTACGAGTGTCAGCAACAATCAAAAGAGCACAGTGGCCTGAAGGTGCAAACCAACAGAGTGAGGACTCTGAGATTTTCTCTCAAATAACAAGAGATGCACACTTGACTGAATGATGCATGTGAAAGTGAAACCCTAAAAAATCAAAGATCAGACAAAATCAAGATCAGCCTTGCAGCCTTGCAATCACATTCAGCCTTGAAGTGGCCCATCCTGTCAGAATATGATAAAAAAATGTAGAAACAATGATAACGATGCATTCATGTTGCCCTGTAATAACAAGTTGACTTGAAAACAGAACATTACCAAATATGTCTTTAAGACTGTGTTGGGATGTCTGTTAGAGGCAAATGCACTTTCAGTTTATCAGATTATATAACTGTGACACAAGAACACACCATAAGTCACTTTAGTAATCAAGGGGAGATCTAAAACACTTATCCAAGCAAAAGAATAGGTCTGGTGTGATTGCAACAGTCTCGGGCCAACTCAAATGAATCCATGCTAATGAAAGGACTTCTTCAAGACACCTTCATAAGTGTCCTAGTGAGAACAGACGTTATTACTGCCATATGCACCATCTCTGGGAGTACTTGCCTAGCAATGAAAATATAAACATCTGAAAAATATTTTTATGACTATAAAGTGCAAATACCTCTTTCCATTGTTGACATACAGGTTGTTCTATGTAAGGGAGGAGTAGTAAGGTACAACAAAAGGCACAAAAACACTGTTAAACATTATAGGTTTTGCAGTCATTGGTGCCCCATGAAGCACTGAAGCCTGGGGCAGCTCTAGGGCCTGCAGTGGAAAGAACTCTATTGTTTGTTGTTTGTGATATTTTAAGGGAGACTGCAAGTCCTTAATAAAACAAATTTACTCTACCTCCTGCAAACTGTGTTAATGTGTATCTTCTACCTATCGTACTGCAAGATCCTGGCACAGTCAGCGCTGTATTTACATGAGGATGAACGCCTAAAACAAATG